GAAAGAGGAAGGGCGCGAGTGGGCCAAAGAAGGGGAGCAACAGGGGAGGGTGCACGGGGGGTTAAAAAGGGTTGCGCGGAGGAGGGGGTGGGGGGGGGGAATTGAATCGAAATGGATTCGATTTTGGGGTTCCCATTTCAGAGAACGACCAAGGGGAAAAATGATGAGAATGACGAGGGGGGAAACGAAGGGTGAAACGACGGAGAAGAAGAGGGAAGAAAGAGAAGAGAAAAGAAGGAAGAGAAAAGAAAAAAAAATACAAATAATAACGTACCTGCCCATAGTCATCGGCGACCCAGGATCGTTGATGACGTGCCCGCGACGACGATGACGCTGGCGTGGCAATGTTGACGATGAAGACGTGGTAGTGTCGACTGCTCTGCGTCGATCAGGGAGGGCAGGAGGGCGATCGATGCCGTTCTGATACCAGTGTGACGAGGCAGAGGCAAAGCAGCAAGCTGGGAGAGAGAGGGAGAGTGAGAGCACACACACATGCTCACTCAACTCGACACAGACTCGACACGACTCAATTGACGCAGACACCAAGTGGCAAAGTCGCAAAGTCGTAGTCTTGAATTTCCGAACACAATGTCGAAGCAAAGTCACACTGCACGCAAGCGTTGAGGCTCAGAACTGGTTGCCCGTACTGGGCTTGAGTCCGTACATAAGTACCAGACTCAAGTCCGGTCCTGAGGGCAAAAGTGAAAATGCCTCAGGGCCAGAACTGAAAATGGAAAGTCTGAGAGTGGGCGCCAGAATGTCGGATGGCGCCAAGTGTCCGAAATTCGAAAGTCCTAAAAGAAGGATTTTGAAAACGGGCGCCAGAATGCAGATGGCGCCAACTGTCTGACATCAGAAAAAGCAAGAGCAAAGAAAAAAAAACAAGAAAATTGTAAAAACGAAAAATAAATAAATACAGCAAGCTGCCAGGAGTTAACCCGCAGACCAGGGATCGAGCCCTGGTGGAGTCCGTAACTTCCGATCTCCTCCAACAGGTAAGTACCTGACTCCCTTCCCTACAGGTATGGCTCTCTCCTCCTCTCTCTCTCGGGCTCATGTTCTTCTCTCACCGCTTCTCTCTCTCTCTCTCTCTCTCCCTGTGTGTGTGTGTGTGTGTGTGTGTGTGTGTGTGTGTGTGTGTGTGCTTGTATCACTTGGCTTCACACACTCAGCTAACCTAGATCGTAACCCTGAATACACCCACTTCAGACTCTCTTCCACTCGGCGGCTATGGCCGCCACCCTAGCTGCTCCAACCCTAGCTACGGAGTCTCCCAAGGTGCCTTCTTTATCCTCCCGGCGCTTGCTCAAGGTCCCGCAGTCGCACAAGCAGCCAGCAGCACTTCCGCAATTAGCGATTGAACAACTGTGTGGCATACTGCGTAGCCACACAGGCCCTGCAGGGCCCGTCTCGGACTTTCAGCCTAAAAGCCTAAAAGTTATGGCTTACGGGCCCCGGTCGTTTCAGCCTGGAAGCTGAAATACGAGGGCCTGCAGGCCCTATTCCGTTTCAGCCTATTTTTGGGCCTTTCAGGCCCAGAGTTTTTCCAGCCTGAAACGGAGGGCCTTTTTCAGGCCCTCATTGTTTCGACCACCCCTAAGACTCAGGCACGAATACAGGGTTTCGGAACAGGCCAGAAATAGCCTGTTCCTCACGAGCTTGAGCAGGAGCTGCAGCTGCAGCCCCTGCCT